CTTCTGCGTGCAGCTCACAACCAAACGACGGCGGCTCCCCGGCGGTGCTGACTTGGGCAGTAGACCCGTACGCGTTTAGCTTCGAAATGCTACGTTTAACAAACGTAAGAGGCACTGAATTACGGGGACTCCGCCGGTGGGAGTGAAGCAGGCTGCTGGTTCGTCATGCTGCGGTTTCATCACTGCACTCATGGCGTGACTTAGCAGGCGTACCAGACTGAAGGAAAGCTGCCTCGCGCGCCCTGTGTTAACGAGGTTTTACTGCTGCTTGTTCTCCCTAGGCTCTAGCCAATATCGACATCGGCAGCCTCATCTGTAACGTAGGAGCTGGTGGTGGTGGTGCTCCAGCTGCAGCTGCTCCTGCTGGTGGTGCTGCGCCTGCGGGTGGTGCTGCCCCTGGTGAGTGGGCTTCTGTGTCCAATGTGGTGATCTCCAGCTGGAAGAAATGCTTGATTAAAAACCTACCTGTTACCAGCCTGAGAGCCAGCCAGGCTCTTTCTCTTGCAGTTTTAACGTGGTTTGTGCTTTGTAGTATGTGCTAGGGCGTTCTAGAGCAAAACAGACCTTCACCTTTTGAAAGGCTGGAGTTGCACTTCCAGTCAGTGTACAGGATTAGTTACCTCAGAATTAAGGCTGATCTTCCTGTCTATCATCAGGATCTCCTCGTGATGGCTAGAGGGGGGAGAGTGCCTGCTTTCTAGAGTTTTTCAGATTTGATAGGAATTAATTTTCAAGGCACAAAACCACTTCCCTAGTAGTGGAAGTACTATTCTCCTTGGGTTGTTAGCTTGTTAGGATTGCTTAGGTCTTGCTTCTTCACATTACAGTCATTGTACATGAAGTCTCTTGTGGCATGTGACTTTTATGAGCTGATAAAGTGGAAAAATCCTGATTTCCTTTCTCCTTTTCTAGCTGAGGAGAAGAAAGAAGAGGAAAAGAAAGAAGAATCGGAGGAATCCGATGATGACATGGGCTTCGGTCTTTTTGACTAATGAGTTTTGTACCTGCCTGTAATAAAGAACATTTAAATGTACTCTTGTCTCTAATATGGATGCATGTGAAGGGGAGCGGATGAAGGGTGGCCAGGTTACCTGCAGGTACCACAACTGCCGTCATCGCGTGTTAATCTAGGGTTTTACAGCTTTCCTTGTTGATTCTTCATACTCGCCATAGGCGTAGCACAGCAACAGTTAAGGCTCCTAATTGTATTCATAGTGTATGGACAAAGGTGGAATCACAGTGCACATGGGCTGCGGTAACAGCTTGGCAGGTACAGGATGCGGTCACGGTTAGCAGAAGCGCTGTGACTTGGTTGGTACTGCAGGCAGGAGCTGCTTGTGCTGCAGTGTGTCCAGTTAGCGCTTTAGCAACAGTGCAGTTTCCAGTACCAGGTGAGTTAACCTGTTCAGGGGCAGCTAAAGGCCGTGGCACAGCAGGGATTGTGTGTGCATTTCACAGTGGAGGACAGTTGTTGAGCTGAAGAGTGGGGAAAAAGGCAGAAATTCCCAGCGGAAGGCCCTTGTTGGAGGCTAAAGCTGGGATACTGTTTATTCACGAGTAGGTATAATTTAAAAGCAGATTGAGTCTTGCAGTGCTAGGCACCAAGCCTAGGTTCGTAAGGTGTGTAAATTTTTTTGCCTTTCCAGAAAAAAGTTAAGGAGCATCTCTGGAAACTGCTTTGAAGGGTGGGTGTGGAAGATTGTAAAAGTATGTATTTCTAAAATGACTTCTGAACAGGACTTTTCCAGAGCAACTGAGCAAGGCAAGGGCTGTCTTTCTAATGTGTATTCTAAAATATTAAATGAAAATTATGCATTAGCAAAATGTTCTGGTGCGTAAGAAGGACTCTGAGGTTGTGTAGGAGGGGTTGTTCCACATCTAGACCAACAATGGATGCACTCTGCACTGTCCCATCTTCCTGCAACTCTGCAGCTCATTTGTTTTGAAAGATGCTGGCACCCATGGAGGAACGTAGTCTGTGCAACCCCCTGCTGCTGCTGAGAGCTCTCGACTGAGCTTCCAAACCACTCAACTGCTACATTCCCCCACCCCTTCTTAAAGAAACCTTCCCCTAGGAAAACTGATTTTAAAAGTCTAAAGGAATGTAAGGAGTGACACCAAGTAATTACAAGCCACTTAACACAGATGATAACACTGACTTGTTCCTGTGCTCCACAGT